CCACGTTCTTTTTCCAGCAGTCCGAGGACCTGCCGCGCACCCAGTGGAGGGGCAGGTGGAGGCAGCTCAAGTCCATGGAGATCTACGTCCAGGAGGTGGCGGCGGTGGCGTTCGTGCCGAACCTGTCGCAGGCCTCGCGAGAGCTCGTGGGGAGCTTCGCCGCTGCGCTGCCAGGTCTGCTCGCGCGGGCCGTTGCCGTTCCCGCGCGTGGCAAAAACTGAGTGCTTGCTGCTTGTCTCACAGCCTGGGAAGTTGTCTTCATGCATGCTGTGTGTCTCGCTTAGAATGTGTTGGAGGTTTGGGTCAGGGGGCCGATTTTTGTTTTGCGTTCATGCCTTGTCAATCGTCTTGGTGTCGATGCGCTTGCGGCTCCGACCATTGCAATGCTTCCTGAGTGTCGGAGAGAAATAGTTGCGGGAGGAGTTAAGCCTGACTTGTAGGCCTTGGGACGGGAGCAATGGCCTCAGCCGTCACCCACCCACCTCCCTGGACCTCCAGGGAGCCGATTTTTGTTTGCGTTCATGCCTTGTCAATCGTCTTGGTGTCGATGCGCTTGCGGCTCCGACCATTGCAATGCTTCCTGAGTGCCGGAGAGAAATAGTTGCGGGAGGAGTTAAGCCTGATTTAAGGCTTCCTTGTCCAATGCCCTCACCGTAGTTGGTTAAAGAGAGCAGCCCATGCCCCTAGAACTGTGCTGTCGGTTCAATAAGAAATGCTTATAGGTCAGTTTGCTGCCGGCGAGCGTGGTTGGAGCCGTGCAAGGACCAGAGTAATTGATCAGTCCTTGTCCGCGTGGTCTCCGCCCCCGTCGATGCACTAGCAGTTGGTGAAGATCGAATATCAGGTGGTTGGATCCAACGACAACGAGGGCGTGGACTAGTTTGGATGGCGGGTGTGGTGTTAGGGAGGGGGGCTGGAGGGGTTGGCGCCTCGTTTTTCCTCCTGTTTGCCTCGTCCTTGCCGTCCTGATGGTGGCTTTAGCGGCTCAGGTACTTGTGCGGGCCAAGAGGCCCCCATCCTCACGATTTGGGTGCCAAGCGCTTTAATACTGTTCAAACTGACCGTCGCCCCAACGTGCGGCGCGGTGGATAGCACAACATAAGCTTGTGAAAATCAGGAAACACATGTGTAAACCCAAGACGTATCAACGATGTTGAAATACACCCTCCCTCCAAGATACCTCCTCATAGGCCCCTACAAAGGGGTCATTTCTAGTGAGTTTCCCCATTGGGGGACAATCGTGTGAATATCTTGATGCGCGCCAAGACAGCAATCTCAGGACTTCAACACCACGAGTTAACTTGACTGTCACGTATTATCGCCAATACGTGACCGCCAATGTAAGTGTCAACGTAATTGTTGTGCCTTGACAATCTCGAATCGCGCCACAACACCATTCCTGGTACGTCAACCATGGGAACACATGACGCTCTTGTCAATGTTGCCAACGAGTGTGCGAGGCGTTAAGACGAGAGCCCCATTTTGAAAAGGAGCCGCCCTCAATCCGTGCAACCCTCTGCAAATGTTCCCATGATTGCGTGCGGTGCCAAGGCGGCAGCCACATCTTGAAAACGAACCGCCCTCAATCCGCGACACTCTTGCCAGTTTGCACAACAAATGTGCGCGGCGCTGAGGCGAGAGCTACACTTTGAAAACTGCCCGCCCTCAATCCGTGAAGCTCGTGCAAGTTCTTTTGACTAAGGCGCGCGGCGTTGAGGCGAGAGCCACATTTTGAAAACAACCCGCCTTCAATCCGGGAAGCTCTTGCAACATTACTACAGGAATTCGCGCGGAGCTGAGCCGAGAGCCACATTTTGAGAACCGCCCGCCCTCGATCCGTGAAGCTCCTGCAAGCTTACAGGAGGAATGCGCGCGGCGCTACGGCGAGAACTATATTTTGAAAACCACCCGCCCTCCATTCGTGAAGTTGTTGCCAATTTTGAAGCATGAGGGTGAGGCAGTCTCCGGCGAAGCGCCCGGCCCGCCCTCTCGGCCAGCCTCGGGGTGCGACAGGGAGGAGTTACCTTTTTAAGAGGGAATGGAATGGAGGAGGAGGAGGAGGAGGAGGAGGAGGAGGAGGAGGAGGAGGAGGAGGAGGAGGAGGAGGAGGAGGAGGAGGAGGAGGAGGAGGAGGAGGAGGAAAAGGAGGAAAATGATGAGGAGAGTCGGAGAGGGCGTGGCACGAAGCGCGCGCTGCGGCTAAGGCGGTCAGGCAGGGGGCAGGGACCAGGACACGCAACAGCAAAAAACGAATGGCAGGCGACGATCGTCACGATAGTCATCGCAATTGTCATCGTGGTGGTCGTGGTCGCAGTGGTGGTCGTGCTGGTCGTGGAGGTCGTTGTGCTGGTGGTGGTCGTGCTAAGGGTGGTCGTGGTGGCGGTCATGGCCGCGGTGTTTGCTGGTCGCCGTGTTGGTCGTTGTGGTCATGGCGGTGATCGTGCTGGTCGTGGTGGTGGGCGCGATGGTCGTGGTGGTGGTGGTGGTGGCCGTGCTGGCGAGTGGACGTGGGCTGCTTTTCTGGCCCCGTCGCACTAAGCAGTAACTCCGCGTTGCCGAACGCCGAGCAGCGCTCGATCTTCCGCCCGGCGGTCGGAATCACGCCCGACCGCGCGGCCTCCGGCAAGTCGACCAGCTCGTCGGCAGGCCGACCCCCGACCCTTGTAGGACCGCTGAAACCAGCTCGCCCCTGGAAGGAGGGTCGCGCGCCGGCTTCCTCTTGACCTCGTGGGAAGGCGCCACCCCGTCCATGCCAGCCCTGGCCTTCCTGCGAGCCAGCGGCTACAGACTACTCTACGTAGAGCAGGCCTTGGCAAGGGGGCCGCGAGTGGCCACGTCGAGGATGGCCTCCTCCCACGCGCTCGTGTCGGGATGCTGGCGACCCCACGCAGTGACGCGGTGCTCGGTGGCGGCCCAGTGGCCGAACTTCACCACCCACTAAACCACCCCAACCCAATCCGAAGGCTCCAATTTGCCCTCCATTTCCATTCGGGGGGGCGTCGGGGAACATTGACAAAAACACATATGGAACCCGTACCCCCACCCAAACCCGAAATTTGGGTCTTCGAGTTGGGTTGGGATGGTCTGGTAAGTAGTCAAAACTGGGCGTAGTGCCGCGGCGCAATCCAGTCGCGCAGGGAATTGAATCGGTAGTCCCCGCCACCCCTGCATCCGCACTTCCAGGCGTGCCGGCCCTTTGCGGCCAGCAGTTCCCCGATGAGTAGGCCGTCCTACTTGCGGTGCCGGCAGCGTGCGCCTGGGGCGCATGCGTCGCAGCTGAGACGCATGCCTAGGTTGGCCAGGGAATTTGCGTCTGGGAGGGATGCGCCGCCCTCCCCGCGGGGAGAGGGCCAAGCCCCCGCTCCTGGGCCCCTGGCTCCGCGTGGTGCGAGTTGGCCGTCCCCGCCTGGCGTCCGAAGGAGCCGCGCTGGTCTGGCGAAGAAGGCTTTCTTCCCCAGTCCCCCTGCTGTCTGGCGTTGGGCTTGGCCAGAAGCTGCCCAGCCCAAGAGTTTGGCCTTCGTTCCGTGCCGGTCGGCGCGGCGCCGAGCGGCTGCCGTCCGAGGGCAGCGGGCCCGGGCGGCCTCTGCCGAGGTAGCCTCGAGGCTGGCTGCCGCGCCCCGAAAGCACGAGGTGAGCGCGAGCGGCGAGCGGCGGTATCCCGGCCTCATAGGGGAGCCGTTGCCGCCGTCTTTGCGGCAGAGGGTAAGCCACGCCTTCTGCTCGTCGCTGAAGGGTCCAGTCAGCTCAGCGGAAGAAGCCTCGCAAAGCAAGTCGTCGAGCTCCCCCGCCGAGGCGGTCTCGCAGTTCGTGCGCCGCAGGTTGGTGCAGCAACCCTGGGCGCAGGTACGGAGAAGCGTGTGCGCCCCCTTGCGCGGAAGGTCCCTGCTGGCGCAGCGCTCTCCCGTGGCTCAGGAAGCGGCGCGTCTTGTTCAGGACCTCTCGGCCATCGGAAGTGGTCAGTCAGTAGGGGCAGCCTGGCGTTGTCGTCGTCCTCGCCGCGGTCCTACCACGTGACCGGTTTCCCCAGGACAGTGAAGGTTGCAGTCCAGAACGGCCCGGGCTAAGTAGGGATCGCATTGGCGGGGCTGGCTGTCCACACCTTGGTCCTGTCCATGTTGAGCTCAAGGCCAGCCCCGGCCATCTCCTCCCGCGCGCGGTCGCGGGCCTGGGCGGCGGCCGTGCGGGCACGGCCACGAGCGCGTCGAGGTAGGAGGGAAGGCGGCAGGCGGAGCTCAGTTGTTGCAGGTGGTCGCGGGCGCGGGCCAAGGGCCCTCGGTGATTCCAATCGCGAAGGAAGCGGGGCCGAGTGGGCATCCCTGGTCGACGCCTGTCTGGGCTGACAAAGGCATGGGCGTGCCGCGGCAGTCTCAGGAGATGCGCGTCGTCGGCTTCGCCAGCCAGGCGTGGGCGACTGGGAGGAGGCTTGGCGCCTGGCAGCCCACTGCGTCAAGCACCGCTTGCCAGGGCAGGGCGTTAAGCGTTAGTAGCGTCAAAGGCCGGGACGGCGGCCCCTGACATTGCTTCGGCCTAAGCGGTGACGCATGTTCTTGCCCCCCAGTATGGAAAATCTGTTCGTTGCATGCGCCTTATGTTTCGCCCCGTCCACGATGATGCGCTGAGTTTCTCGTTCGCTTGCGCCCCCTCCAGTGCGGCGCAGTACTTCTTATAAACTTCGCTTGTTTCGCACTCGTTTGCCCTTCTCTTGTTCTTCTCTTCCTCCCCACACGTGTTCGCCCTCTAGGCTCGGTCCCTCTGTCTTGGCGGGCGGCCCTTCTCTGTTGCGCTAGTTGTTCCATGCCCGTGTGAGGAACTACTACATTCACGGTACAACTACACTCGCAATAGTGGGGATGCGTTGCCCTTCCCCGCAATAAGCCATAACGCTGTTGCCCTAACTGTTTTCCTTGCTACACCGCGTTCACCTCCTTGTCACGCGCACGCATCCACACATATTCATTCGTGGTCCGACAGCGAATGGGATCCCCCCTTGGCGCGCACACTTGCGGGATGTGTCTTTGCGTGATTATGTTGGTACGTGGTCGTCGTGTTCGCCACCAACAGTGACCAGCGCCCATCAGGAGCACAACTGGCGCTGGCCTTGACGCGAATAGCGTCGTCACGCTTTTCGCAAACGACCGATACCTCGTCGATGACGACATCTACTTCGAGCGCCACCTCGGCGACAACCGGCATGAGGATGAACAGCATGATGTTGAACCGCGGCGTCCACACGTGGTGCGTCTCTGAAGGCACACGCCGAGGACCAGCGCAGCAGCACGGGAGTACGACGGCTGCATCCACCCGTGACGTGCTCCAGGGAAACGCCCTGTAACACACCAGCGCAATGAGGGCGCGCGGCTCGTCAACGCCGACATCCAGGTGCCACGCGCTTCTGTATAGCATTCCGAGGATTGGCGATGCGACGGTGATCAGCGGCGCGAATTCGACTTCCACACGGGGCACATTTCTCAGCAGTGTCTCGGGGCCCAGCAGCACGACGGCGAGCATCGCGAGCCTAGCACACACAGGCGACGTGTCCTTGAGCATTGTTTCGATGTCAACAGCACGGTGATGAGCTTCAACGCGCCTCCGACATCCACTTGTGGAGCGTCCTGGGGCAGCAGCTCGGGGACCTAAGGCGATCTTGGCACTAACATTGCCCTCTTGTTCCTGGTCGTCTGTCGTATCAGTGGCATTGGCGTGCTCGTGTCCGACTGTCTGTCGCATCAGTGTGCATGGTAGCTCGCCGCGAGCATCACGCCAGCGAGCAACAGCATGATTTTGTCGTCAAGCATGAGACTGATCGGACATGAGCCGCTCACCACCCCAAGGGGCTGCGCGACGTGCAACAATAGCACGATATTATTGTCCTGGTTCCTGTCTTGCGCTGGTTCCTCTCAGCTTTCCCCTCTCCCGAAACAAATTGCGCTGTGAAAGACAAAAACATATTAGCACGCTGCGGAGCAACATGATTGTACCCGACGTTCGGCGCGAGGCGACCCAGCTGTGCTCTTCGGTGCACTCCGTCTTGCTTTTGGTGGCAAACTTCGGGCTGCTCAGGGTTCTCGTGGCCGGCGTCCGAACTGCCGCCATGGACATGTGGTGAATGCGGCCACGTCGGTGGCGAAGTCAATGAATAGTCACAGCGACCAGGCTCTGCGTAAGCTTTTTGGTCCTTGCCGCTCGCTTTGTCTCTCTTTTCTCTCGCTTGTGCCCTTCCTCCTCCCATGTGACGTTGGCGATTCCCGCATTCCCTTTGGCGTGTGTGTGATATTGAATGTGCTTCTAGTGATGTTTCAAACGATCCAGCCCGTACTCGCTGGGCGCCGCTCTGGGCATGCATGGCTGGCGGTGGCATCCCATGCAGCCGCATGACCGTCAGGTCCGCCGCGTTGTCTGGGGTCGGTTTTGCGCCGCCCTTTCACCTTCAAGTCGCATCCAGTCCATCCTCGGGCGGCTAAATCCGAACCCGAGCCTGGCAGATCAATGATTCAGGCAGCTCGATGAGCGGCGGGGGCAGGGTTCGGAATTCGTCAAAATCGTGGCGAAATGCCCACCGCCTCCCATCGATTTGTGTAAATCGATGGTCGGCGGGGGTAGGGTTCGGATGTAGCCACCCCAAAACTGCGCCTGCCTCCCTTGCCCACCTCTCCCGTCTTCTCTCAACCGTTCTGGCATGACAGGAACCATCGGAGGCACGGCGCGGCTTCCAATCAGATTTGTGTTGTCGCCATGTGCCGTCTACAGCTGTATGAGGCACGATTCCATCTGCGGTGGGCCAGACCTTGCGGGAGGCGCACGCACTACTCTTGTTGGCATTGTCTCTTGACGTCTTCTTTCTTCTTGCTCCTGCTCATCCATCTTCTGTGCCCCCGAGTGGCGCAGCGTAGCCTTGCTCATCTGGAGGTGTTGGTGGGATGGGCGCGGAAATCGGCAGTCCAACTCCGCCTGTTTGCCTCTAGCCGCAGTTTGCCCGCCGTGGATGGGGCCTGGTATCAGCACGGGGTGGCGACTGGAGGTGCGACGGCCATTGTTGGTCCACGCACTTGAAAATCTCCCCGCTCTTTCTCTCCTCGCTATTTTGGGTTATTTCCCCTCTGCAGTCTGATTCCTGCGTAGGACTGTCATCCTCCTGCCTTGTTTTTTCTGTCATCCCGTTCGCCCCCTCCCTCTCCAAACTACACAGATCTAGAAAGTTGGTCCGGGCTCTGAGGCATTCCTCAACCAGTTGGCGAGTCTGGAGATCTAAAACAATGTTTCGGCTGCAGTAGCTCCACGGCGTCCCCGGGAGAGGCAACAGGGCCTACACACATGTTCAAATCTGACCTTCAGACGCCATGGTCACCGCGCGGCTCTGGATTATCCTGGCACGGTCCCTCTTCCGCGCTATGCTTTAGTGTCCAGTCGAACTGGCAATTGAGCGCGCGCGAGCGACGGCTTTAGTTCCATGTGCCCCCCCGTCCCTGAGTATATTGCTACTACTTCGCGCTCGAAGCACACACATACATAATATATGGATACATGTTCGCCGCGGCTTCATGTTTGGCGACGTTGGTCAAAGCGGCCCTACCCTTCGCACTTCGAATTTGCACGGTGCGTCGTGCTTTCCCGACGCTGTTAATGCGAGCCAGCGCCATTGTCACACGTGCAGCGGTCATGCACATTCCGCATTCTTTACAAGGTGGAGGTGCCGCCGTGGATAATCTTGGTCTGCTTGAGGAAGAACTCGCTGTCGACAGAGCGCCTCGCGACGGGCAGGTTTCAATGTAGCAGCACACTTTGACATGTTCGGTCGTCGGATGCATGTGTCATCATGGCTCGATTTTGGCGCTGCTGCCTTGGCGCATTGAGATGCAAGAAGGGCTCCGTATATCGAGTGCTGCTGCATCACGTGGGCAAACACATCACGTGCTAAACTTGTGGCTGGATGTGAGGCAGGGTGTGCAGATCATCCGGCGTGCATGTCCTTGCCAATCTGTTGATTAAACATTGTTCACAGTGTAGTCTGGATTGATGGCTGAATGCAGGCATGCGGCCACGACATCCCTTCAGTCTGTACAGGCGGGGGCAGGCACGCCTCAGCATGAGAGTGGTCACCGTCGTGGTCAGTGTTTTCACCATCCTCGCCTTGTTCGGGGTGGCGGCCAGCAGCCTTCAACAACGGCGGCGTGTTTTCAGGCAGTTCTGCGTGTCACGAGGGCGGTAAAAATTACAGGCAAGCAGCAAGTGTGTGATTACTTACATGTGAATGCCGGAGTGAAGCTCTTGTGTGCTCTGGTTGGTTCTTAGAATTCCCACCGTGTTCACCGTGATGGCCTCACTAGATGCATGTACGTGTAATTTTGTATTACAGTGTAGCTCGCACTGCTACCATGTTGCAATCTCCCTTTGGGCACAGCCTTGCAAATCGACACCAGCGGGTTATTCTGCATTCCGTGATTATGTTGGTTCATCGCCAACTTCGAACCATGCAGAGGCCTGTTTGAATCCCTCGTTTGATTTGAGGTCATCATACTGTTAGATGTGTTAGTGTGAGCGGCGTGGGCACTTGAGGACGGCGGAGAGGAAAACAGTGACGGAGCTGAAAGCGTAGAGTTTCAAAAGGAAGTTACAGAACGGACGATAATGCGAGGGCGCGAAATAGCCCGAGGATAGAGAAGTAGGACGCGTGAGCGGGAATGTTGCACGATCATGAAGGACAACAGGGACACTGGCAATAATTTTGGTGCTTCCACAAGCAATCCTTGCACTGAGGGTTTCCCGGAAGAGGATCTGCGCGGCTTGCGATTTCGTGTGTGTGTGTGTGTGTTTGTGTTGTTGCCTTTTCAGTCGTGCTGCCTGCGAGTGGTTCTTGCTGATGCATCCCTCTTTTCCTCTGCATCTGTTGCTGGGCTTCTTGAGGGCCTCCTGGAGGCCTAGGGGTCGGCCTCTCAGGGCTTTCCAAGGCTCCTGGGGCTTCTTGGGGCCCATTGGGAGCCTCTTGGGGCCCTCTTGGGACCATGTTCAGGGTTTTGGAGACTATCTTGTGGGGGGCTTCTGGGGTCCCTGCAGGTTTTCCCTCTTGGGCCCATCTTGGGGCTTGAGGCCTCTTGAGGGTCTTTGTTTGCCATGCTCAAATCTACTTGGCCTCTTTTGGGGGCCCTCTTGGGCCGTTTCCGGGCCCCATGGCTTATTTTAGGGGCATCTTGTGCCGTCCTGGGCCCGTCTGGGGGGGCCTCTCGCGCCATTGTGGGCTGGCAGACGCCCGGAAAGGAGAGAACGCGAACTCTTGATTCGGCGGCGAGCGAGGGGCGGAAGTCAGAAGGAGAAGGCCTTCTCAGAAGGTGGAGGGTCTTCGGGGAAGGCTTAGACAAATTCTCAGAAGGCTTGGGGACTTCCGAGCCTTCTGAGAAGGCCTTCTCCTTCTCACTTCCCCCCCTCGCTCGCCGCCGACTCTTGATGGTCTTCTCGTTTTTTTTTTTTTTGCGGCGTCTTCGGCCGACTTGAGGCCACCCTGGGTGTTATCGAGGCCTCTCTGGCGTGTTTTGGGGTCCTTTGTTGGAGCCATCTTCGGAAGCATCCTGGGCATGTTGGCGGCCACGGAGGGTTGATCTTGAGGCTCCAGGGGCCCCAGAGGTGCGATGACAAGCTCGCAGGAGCCCGTGCCCCACCCCCCTCAAATGGTTTTGTTCGGTATCCAGGGAGGGGAGACGGGGTGCTCCATGGCTAGTGCCTGAAACAACTCTTCGATGGTCGCGAGTGCCTCAGTGGTCGCGATTTGATGTTCTTGCCCTGGCGCCCTCTGAGCGGTGCTCTTTGGCTGGTGCCCTATGATGCGTGAGTGGTTGCAACTTCTCGTTCTTGCCTTGGTGCCATATGGGCGGTGCTCTATGGCTGGTGCCACGTCATGACTGAGTGGTTGCGAGTTCTCGTTCTTTCCCGGTTGCCCCATGGTTGGTGCTCTATGGCTGGCGCCTCATGATGTTACTGCTTTCTCGTCCTCGCAATGGTGATCTAAATCAGTTGCTCTGTGCCCTGTGATGTCTTCGACTGTTGCGAGTAATCGTATGTGCCTTTGTCCCCAATGGCTGCGGTTCTATAGCTGTTGCCCGATGGACTCGTTGCTGGTTGCGTATTTCTCATTATTGAATCGCTTCGCTCATTCCGCCGGCCCATTTCGCATGACTGAGCCTCTTGGGGCCGCTGGGGGGCCTCTTCAGCGTCGCTTGGGGGCCTCCTGAGGGCCTCTTGGGGGCTTTTGGGGCCTCTCAGGGGCCTCTTGAGGCCTCCTGGGGGCTTCTTAAGGCCGAGGCTCGAAGTTTTGTTTTGTGTTCCCCCTTTGGGGCATCGCTTGGGGCCCTCTTGGATGCCTCTGGGGCCGTCTTGGAGCCCTCTTGGGCCATCTTGGGGCCTTCTTGGGAGCTTCTTGGGCCCTCTTGGGGCGATCTTGGGGGCCTCTTGGGCCGTCTTGGGGCGTCGGGAAGCCGAAAAGATGGACACGCCAAAATCTGCCCAAAACCTAAGGAAAAGTAATGAATTTTGCCTCTTGGGGCCCTCTGGGGAGTGCTCTTGGAGGCCTCTTGGGGCGTCTGGGGGCCATCTTGGGCGTCTTGGAACGATCGTGTGGCATCTCGGAGCACTCTTGAACCATCTTGGAGGGCTCTTGGCGGCCTCGTGGCCCTTCTTGGGGCTCTCTGGAGGGCCACGGGGGCAGCGCCCAGGAAGAAAACCATCTCTGAACCGACCCTGCCGGGGATCGCCCGGGGTACTTTTCGTCCGGGGACCCCCAGGGGCCGCCCCGCGCGCGCGAAGTAGAAGTATTATTTAGCAGTTACCGGAGATCTTAGCACGCCTCTGGCCCGTTGGGCCGGCGAATTGCATTGGTGCCTTGTGCGTGACGCTCTATAGCTGACGCCTTTTGATGTCTTTGCTACTTGCGTTTCTCTTGTTTCCCCCCTGATGCTGTGATGGTGGTGCCCTGCGGTTGGTGCCATGCCTGTGACAGCTGCGAAGTGCCACTGTTGCCCTGGTGCTCGATGGGTGTTGCTCTGGTGCCCTCTGGTGACTTCGACGCTTGCGGTGTTATCGTGAATGCCCTTGTGCTTTATGACTGGTGCCTTTGAACTGTGGCCTGTGATGCCTTTGATGGTTGCGGTAGTGGCGTTTCTGCCCTGGTCCTTTGTGGCCGGTGTTCTGTGCAAGGGTCCCGAATCGCCAGTGAACCAGGGGAATGCGGCTCAGAGGTCGGGAGGTTTTCTCTCTCGGGCCACGGCGGGTCGCGCAGTAATGGAGTACGTGTGTCGTATAGACGTGTGCATTGCTTTTTGTTTCCCCACATGTATACATTCACGCGAAGTGGTTGTTAACTTGGGCTGGACACGGTGATGTAATGCACTGTGGATGTGCAAGATGTGTGGAGCAAGCTACGTGGTGCATCATGTGGTGAAGCTGCGCGGTACACGCCATGTGGTGCAAGCTGCGTGGTGCAAAATGGTGGAAGCTACGTGGTGCAGGCTATGTGGTGCAAGCTACGTGGTGCAAGCTAGGTGGTACAAGCTACGTAGTGTAAGCCATGTGGTGCAAGTTGCGTCGTGTAAAGAATGTGGTGCGAGCTATGTCGTGCAAACTATGTGTCGACAGCTTTGCGGTGCAAGCCTGTGGTGTAAGTGATGTCATGTAAGCTATGTTGTGTAAGCCATGTGATGCAAGCTATGTTGTGCACACTAACCCTATGATGGTGATAATCGCACCCTGGGGATAGTAATGTCTGGGGCCCTGGGAGCATAGTACTTGATTCCTGGATACATCCTCCTCGAAAAGCTGCTGGTTGCGAGCCCAGTGGATCCTGGAAAACTTGATTTTCGGTGGATACAGGCTCACGAAGTTGATGATAAGGATGATTCATGGTGCTATGCGTGATCTGAAGATCAGAGCGACGATGCGAATTGTGGGGGTCATTGTAAAGGTCGCCCAACGTTCGCCCCCCCCCCCCCCCCCGCGCTTCTGAACCCACACACACACACACACACACACTCACAAACACACACCCACCACGTGGATAATCAGATCGAGGGGGTGAAGGGAGGGTTCAACTTTATTATTTGCGGCATGCGGTTCTGTGGTATGAGCTATGCGATGTTGTGATGCAAGTTTTGTGATGCAAGCTATGTGGTCCAAGCTACCTTCTGCTAGATATGTGGTCCAAACTACGTGATTCAAACCGCGTGGTGCAAGCTATGGTGTGTAATATATATATATATTATATATATATATATATATATATATATATATATATATATATATATAAGATGCACCCAGGTTTAGGGGGCCAGGCCGCCAGGAGTGTGCCTGCGCCCTCCATGGGGGGTCCGGGGCCCACTTTCCTTGTGTTTTTACAGGGTTTCGGCGTTCCAGGGCCTCCGAGCTCGCCAGGAGTGTGCCTGCGCTCTCCATGGTGGCTCCGGGGCTCACTTTCCCTATGTTTTTACCGGGTTTCGGCGTCCTGGGCCTCGGAGGCCGCCGCCTCCGACCCCCCATGGGAGGACGGGGCGGCCGGGGAGGTCCAAAATAGTCCAGGAGGGCCTCCAGAGGCTCCCAAGACGGCCCAAGCAGGCCCCGAGTCGCCGAAAGACCGCTCCAGGACGCCCAAGATAGGCCCAAGTCGGCCCGAGAGGCCCCCCAAGGCACTCCACGACGCTTCAAGACGCCTCTCCAGAGCGCTTCAAGAGGCCGAAATCGTCAATTTACGAAGGTTCTCAAACGATTTTGGCCTTCCAGCCTTTTCGGCTGTCCGACGTTCCAAGACGGCTCAATAGGCCCCCAAGAGCGCCCCAAGACGGCCCAAGAGGGCCCCAAGACGGCCCCAGAGTCGCCCAAGACAGCCCAACAGAGCCCCAAGACGGCCCCAAGATGCGCCCAAGAGGGGGACCACGACTCCAAAATTCAACCCTCCCGCTTGAAGAGTGCCCCAGGAGGCCCCAAGGAGCCCCCAAGAGGCCCCAGGAGGCCCAAACGAGGCCTAAGAGGCCACAAAACAGCCCCGAGGAGGCCCCACAACGGTCCCAAAACGGCTACCGAGAAGCTGCGAAACTGCCTTCACGACGTCCCCG